AGCGTGCTGAATGAAGTGGACTTGTAACAACAGCTGATATATTCGTTGTAAAATCTGCACCCGATTCTTCTCGGCTATTTGGATGAAACGAGGGTGACCTAGACTCTGAATGTGCTGGAGTCTTGTTCATGTGATAACTGCAGTTTTGGTTTGTTTCTCGTGCTACAAATGATCTGTTACTGAAGCAAGCCAGCTGTTTCAGTTCGGAGTAATTGGTGATCAAGGTGATGAGGCGGAATTCTAACGCCTTGTATGGCTGCAGATCCAGGTGTAGCACCAAGTATCTCACAGTAGAGACGATGTGATGGAAGCAACCAGGGGTTGGTGTTTTCGGGTCGACAGAGTTGTAAGTGGAGAATCACAGAGATATTTAGCGTCCTCAGAGAAGAGAACGAAGACGCGGTGCTGACCACGCCAAATCAGACATTCAGAGCAGCTCTGGTGCTCCACGGAAAGGACATATCAGGGAAAATGGGCTATGACAGATGTATACAGATTCTATCGGTTCTTCTTTTGTGCGGGGCGAGTTGGGCGCAGGGTCCTGTAGCGGCGCCAGCCCCGTCTTTTACACCTGCTGATGCAATTCGTATCGCGTGTGGCTCAGCTTCCGATGTCAAAATTGGTACCCGGGTTTTTTTAGCTGACGTTCAAGGTACTGGACAAGGGGTTGCAGGAAGAACAAATCAGAATAACGGTGCTTTGTCGGCGTACGCTCCACTTCTCACCTCTGCGAGGTTCTTCACTTCTGCATTTAATTACAATTTCACGGTTAGTCCAGGGAGACATTGGGTTCGCCTGTTCTTCTATCCATTTGCGTTCTCATCTTTTCAGCCGAGTAATTCATTCTTTGACATAAGTACCAAGGAGGTCGGTCTTCTCTCCAACTTCAGCGCAGTGACCTTCGTCACCGCAGACAGCCCTTATTTTGTTCGAGAGTACTTCCTGAACATCACTTCAAAGGACCTCGTTCTTACTTTCATTCCACGGTCAAATTCGTATGCTTTCATAAACGCCA